AAACAGTGTTAATGCTGATGTTCGTGTTTGAAAAGAGGATGAATGCAGAAAACTGTCAAGGCTTAAAGTCAAGGCTTAAAGTCACGTCTTAAGTCGTGTCCTGGACAAATATTTTGAGTTGTATTACAAAATATGTATTTTGTGTTTGTTTGTTTGTTTTCTGCAGTTGTGTAAATACACTTTTTCCTTTGTGCACAAACGTGGCTTCAAGATAGTACGCTGACAGCTCATACACAATAAGTATGTTTGAATGTGTTTAATGAAAGAAACATTTGTGCCCAGGTCGTAAACTCACACAAGCATGCACAGACTCATTATCTCCCATAAACATGAACAATGGGCCATGAGGCATGCTTACCACACATAGTCATGTTCCATCACTTCAGAGGAGGAAATGCATTAAATTCCCAGCCTAACCCCAACCCTTGGGCTTTGATCATATATTTTTCTTATGTTTCTAGTCCCCAAAAGTTGAGTCCCCTCAATGCGACTGAATAAACAAACAAAAGCACTAATAACATTAATCTGACGCAAACAAAGGCACACAGAGTTCAAACAGTCAAGCAGTCAGATAAGAATACAAGACGCAGTGGGGTCCTCTCCATCACTAAGGTAACAAACACAATGACGCAACTATGAAGTCATCAAATAAATCCATCGTGCATGGCCTCCGGGTGTTTATCGTAACCACAGGAATTGCGGGGATTTTATAGGCATCGAGTGAAATCTGGCATGGCTCCAATATTCAGAAGGAGGAGACAAAGAGAGGATTTTTCAGACGAGTTTATTGTCTGAGAATACATGAATGCAGATACGCTTGCCCACTGTCACAGTGCATAAATGTCAGAACACAAGAGTGTAAATGCTTTACATGCCCTTTAGGGAGAGACAGCAGAGGTAGAGTTCAGAGCAGAGAGGATGTGATTCAACCTGGCAGCACAAACCTTCATAACATTGTTTATATGAACTGCAATACTCCAACTACAAAAAGACTAAACTCTGAATAAGACTTGGCTGCTTCTAATCATGCTATCAAGGTGAACTGAAGAAAACTTTCAGACTTATATTCACTGAAAAAAATTGTTTAAAATTTCTTAACAACATAAAATATTTTTGATAAGATCATCAGCGATTACATTTGCTTGGGTGTTCGACACTCATAGTTCAGCTAATCTGCTTTCTGAGGGCATTACGGGTGTTTGGTCAGATCTGGCTGATGGTGGCTTGGCAACACAGACAAACAACACAACAAATGTAGTGATTTGACTGCAAAAAACTCAATTGCAACACGTACGATTTGCGCAACCACTTCTTGTCGTTCCCTCAAAATGAAAAAAAAAAAGAGATAAACTGGCTTATCGAGATTAACTGAGAAAACACATTTTCAGAATAGGGAAATCGGACATTTCAAGGACACAAGCAGCCGTTACTCTCCGCAGGGTACACCACAAAGCTGCGCAGGCTGCAGTAAGGCATAGCAGTAGTTCAGCTAAATGCTGAAATTAATAACAAAGCAATGAAAAATGCAGATCTCTTGGTGGTGCAGAACTAAAGGTCAGTGAATGTTGTGCTGCATCCATCTTGTCTAAAATACTTAACCTTTTCATGCATGAATTATGACAACCTCAATCAGGATTATATCTTTTAGCATTTTTAGTAATCTTTAGGCATGAAAGGATGAATAAAAATACTTGAGAAAAAAATTCTGATTGAGGTTGTCATAATTCATGCATGACAGGGTTTAATAACAATAATTACAATGAAACACGTCATACATCTATAGTAACATTGAACAACCAGTGGGTGGCAGGGTATGGAGTGACACATCAGTGTCCAATGCAGAGGTTTATGTGCAAGTATACCACCAACATGACACAAATACAAGAAAACAGCCTTTGAATAGCTGTCCACTGTAGTGACCACTATGCGTGAAAGGGTTAATTTGATATGCTTGTTCTTGTGGTGTCGTTAGTATTATAGAACCAATACAGGATAATCCCCATAGCTCATTTAAATCAGAATCTTTAGTTGGATCATGGCAGTTCATGTAAATCATAAGATGCAACAACATGCGGACTTTTGCTCAGATGTTTGCTTTTACATATTATTTAGCTGGTCTTGTAGGTACTGGAGTGTGGGAAAGTAAATGTATTAGTGAACACAAGATTATTACTCAGTAATCGATTCAAAGCACTTTTGAACAAAAATCAGAAATTTTACACAGATCAAACTGAGTTTTTGGCAACAATATATCAGCTTTCCAAGAACAAACCAAACAAAAGCATTTTCACAGAATCAACAACAGTTTTACATGTGCTGTACCGATTTTACCACCACTTTAACATGATTTTATACAAGGAGACATTACCGTGTGATGAAAGTCAACTGAGGCACGGAGGTAAGATTATGAAACAGAGCTACAGTATATCCTCACAGTCCATTTAGAAATCCTCTGAACATAATAGAAAGCTGTTTAAATAAGATGAATACGTCAACGCTCCCTTATTTCTACCAGTCAAGAACACAATGTCCCTTAAAATGTGCGACAGGAACACTGATGAATGTACAGCAGAGCAGCAAGAGCAGATTTACAGTGCAAGAAAATCTCAGTACACAGCATGGTGTATGCACATCATCATTAAGCCATAATGTAAGCCAACACAAAGCAAGCAGAGGGATTTACAATCATTTAGATTCATTATTTATCCTGTTAATGGACATATTAATAATATAACTGCCATTACCAGCACTGTTGCATCATGGGTAAAAAACCAACCAACATTATGCATCAGTATGTGTTTTTAGATCAACACGATGAAAACAAAAACTGGGTAAAAAGTAAAATCTGATTTATTAAACATCAATGAATGTAAACACTTCTACTGGCACTACATGTAATGCTGGTTTGGTGCTTTTGCAGCACTGTCTCTCAAAGGTTTTTACATTTAAAGAAACACGTTGATATTTTGGGAAAATATATAAAAGGATTTATACCAATGTCACTTCTTAAAGAGCTCTTGAACGGTAAAAAAATACTTGTGATTGAATAGGTCCTTATTTTTATTCTAGTTCATTTATTTAGTTATTATTTTTTGATGAACCAAAACATGTATTAACCTTTAAATATTTTTGGATTTTTAAAATTGGGCAGGCTGTTTTACCCTTTCCTGTATTAGCGCTAAGCTAAGCCAACTGTTTACATCTTCCCCTATTATTAGGCCACCAGAAAGTCAAACTAATCCTTTGAAGACATGATGTTATGGGTAAGGGCAGACAGCTCACTGGTTTACACTTAAGTTATTCTTCTGCAGTGAACCTATGCAACCACTATGATGTAGCGTACACAAGTGGCCCACATGGTTTTCTAGCATTTACACCTGCCCTTGCATCAGTGTGACATATAATTACATTGCTGGGGAGGTGCACATCAGGTTATTGTGCATGGTTTCTGGTTGTGATGCATCTATAATGTAATTTAAGACAGAAAAATAAACAACCTGTGAGATATAGGCATGTCTTGTTTTAAAATTGTTTTTCTCATTGTTTATTCTAACCTCTAATTGAAAACATACCCTCCCAAACAAAGAGTGGTATATGTTGTAGGATATCAAAGCACCCCCAAAGTCAAAATTAAAATTTCTTCATTGCAGTTTACTTCTACATAAAAAAGGAAGGAAAACCAAGCTTTCTGACTATAAACACCTTATTTCTGCATTTTCATTTGATTTTTCTTCCCTTTTTTTCCTCCCTAATTTCCATAGCATGTTTAATTCAAAGCAGCATTACTCCTGTGTGCTTTTAATCTGTATTATTCTTAAAGAAAGATTAATAAAAAGTCTGAGCAAATTAAATGTCTGTGTAAAAAATAGAGTTGTATGGATTAGGACAGCTATATACCAGCGAAAGGAAATCTGTCCAAGAACCTCCACTCTGTCCAGCAAATTAGAGAGAAATAATAATTAAAAAAAACAGATACAGTACCAATACTTTCCCCATCTCCTCCTAAAAGAGAAGCAGGCACACAAAAAAATGAGAAAACCTTCAGGCTGAATAATGCACCTCTACGTGACAATTTTGCATCACCTGGTAACACAGTGAGGTGAAACCACTTCCTGTCAAGTCATAACCAGACAGGAAAAAAAGTTGAACACAAACATCAAAAGCGAGCAGATAGAGAAGATGGTGTTTCTGTGGGAAGTCTGAATAGGTGAGAACCTTCTGAGCAACATGATGCAATCAGCACTTTAAAACTAATCCCACGACATTATGCAACAATCCTCCACTCAGGTTCTCTGCTTGAAAAACATTTTGTCATTTTCTTATGGACGAAAAGCTTCTGTTGTGCTAAGATTATTCTTTTTTATATACACTTGAATGGATTTGTCTGTATAATGCAAATATAAATAGGATAGACGGTATATACTGCAAAGACAGTTACATTCACTTCCCCCCACCCCCCCCAAAAAATGGGCTGCTCCACTTGATGTAATATAAAGTGTATTACAGAAAAATCTTTAGTAGCATTAAAGACTAAGGCCAAACAAAAATAATAACACTGAGCTGGTGCATGGCCGTTCAGATGGTGTTGAGTTAAAGAAGCTACGGATAGAATTGAAACAAACTAAAGGACCACACACGATACTTAAATAACATATTGTGCATGTAGATTTTCTACCTTGTGTATTTCTGTGTGCAGCATCCTAAATTCACACTTGCGTTTAAACAGGCCAAAGGCAACTGCTGCAGGTTCAGGCAGCTGGATAAGGGACCCCAGGAGTCTATGTTTGTAAGTGTGTGTGAGAGAGACATAATTTGGAGGAGAGCGACTGATGCATTCAACCCATCAAACTATTACACCACAGTGAACCCCTCTCCTCCCTTTTCCCTCTTGCTGTTGCCCCAGTCCATCCACATGCAGGAGGCCCTGGTGAGTCGTTGACTTCAGGACTTCCCCTGACAGCTCCACCCCCCCATTCTGAGGGAGGCTCTGTGGGGTGAGGCTGTCACATCCGCAGCTTCAAGATGACTGTCGCCAAGATGAGGAAAAGAATGTTCCAGCCCAGGGTAACAGCGAAGCCTCGCCACACCATCATCCGAGACAAATCCCAACCTGATGGGAAGATTTATATCTACATTTACTACACAGATTAAGAAAACAAAAGACAAAACAAGCAAAGAGTGGACACAGAAAAAGACAAGGTCGACGATTTCAGCACCAGATTTATGCAAACTGTGATCAAAAAGTTCTGAGACTGCACCTACAAGAAAGCAGAAACTCTACCCCCTCACTTCAAGGTTGTCTCTATATGCACTTCTGTGTATTTCCCTGAGCTCGTGCCAATTTAAGATTTCTTTCTAACCACCCTTTTATTTGTGATTTGTGCAGAGAGCAAGCATCAGCTTCTGTACCCATTTGACTCTTCATGTTGAGGACCATCAATGGGAGCTGGGCTGCAACTCAGAGACGTGTCAGGCATGTCAGATCAATTGTGCAAAAAAGGAGCATGCTTTTACATTTTTTGTTAGATATATTTACAGTGTTGTGCACTGTGACACTGTCCAATGGGTCAGACTGCCAGTGGGAAGCTCTAATGTAACCTGTGTGTGACCTTTGATGAAATTCCCCCAAACTGTGGTATGCATCACCCACCCGGCTTAACAGATTGATCCCTGCAACTTCTTCCGACAAAATAAATACAAGTTGAAGGTTGTTGTTTTGCAAACGCACACCTGCAAGTGGTCAGAGTGGACACGGAGAGATCAAAGACAGGGCAAGGCTGCTGAAAGAGACCCCGGTGTTTCAATAAAGGGACAATTTTTGCTTTTTTTTTTAATAGCCGACAGTCTTTGAAGAATTTTATAGTTTTCCAAGACTTTAGTAAACTAACCCTTTATATCAATAAGAATAAGAAAGGGTTTACAAAAAGTGGACACAACGTGATGTGATTTAGAAATTTGTAACTTGTGTCTCTTTTTTTTCTGTCTATTAAAAAATTATCAATCAAAAAAAAAAAGAACTAAAGTGACTCACAGATGTAGCTTCAACTCATTTAAAGTTGACCTACTGTTAAATTTTCATGTCTGCTGGACTCTGTTAGAGTTGCTATGCATGTTTTAAAATAGACCTCAGAGCGCCCCTTAGTTTATCCTCGATTTGAAATAAGCTGTTGTAGCTCATTTTGCTTCATGCCAGTTTTCTTATAATGGGCTCCCCTTTGAAGGTGGGGGAAACCAAAAGTTTCGAGCAGACTCAAATTTTATCTCACAGGGATCTCTCATATATAAGCTGACATCAGTATCTCAAAAAGGTTTTAGTACAAGTTTCGACCCCTGGAAAAAAAAGAAAATAAAACAAAGCATAATAGATTGATCTTAAATCTGGGTCTGCATTTATAGACAGGGACATCTTGTATGAGATTAAACAGTCATCAAGTCCAGTTAGCAAATGTGGCAGGATGAAGCTGCATTTTCCATGGTAAAAGAAAAGAAAGGTGGCAGTTCATTTCCTAAATTGAACTCTGACACTGTGGACTTGTCTCTGTGAGTTTCTTTCCACTGCACCTATATGATAAGGCCTTCAAACAGGAAATTGCTCCTCCGACTTCCTCTGTATCAAGTAACACAAGGGGAGCTCGCGCTGTCATCAGGTCTTATTGTTCAGAGGTCAACAGGAGGAGAAAAGATTGGAAGACAGATGAAACCACTACACCTCCTGGGAGATGAGTTGCACTGGACCCAGAGCTGATTAATGATTTAGTCAACTGGCTCCGTTGTTCATAACGTAATCATCTGAGCCGTGCACACGCTGCTAACTCTTACACGCTACCAATATGGCATATGGTGCACAGCAACAACACATAATGTTAAACTGTTGTTGTGTGTGATGTGTTCTGTGCATCAGCGTTACCTCTGCACATGATACAGCGAAGGGCTTCTGAGGCGTATGTCAGAGGAAGGACCAGGCTAAGGTAGCTGAGAGGATACGGGATACATTCCACAGGCCAGAATATACCTACATCACAGGACAGAGAGGACAATGTGTCAGAGGTGGGTAAGATATCATTTTCACCTCCATCAGGAATGCTTTGTGTCTGGATTCTGATAACAAGCAGGCTGTGAAGCATTAAAATAATCTGCCCTTTCTCTTGTTTTTTTTCTGTTTTTTTTTCACATTCCAAATCAGGTTCAAAGTTAAGTCTGAGCAGCTGAAAAACACTTCACGGTGCATTTAACAGCTCTTCTGCAGCAATCACTTCATCAGCACACAAATTTCACTTTGAATTGCAGGTGTTCAGAATTCCATCTTTTTCTAAGGAAATCTGGACTCAAAGTTCAAAGATGGAACTATTGTGATATGGCTGGAAGATCCAGAGCAGAACAGCAACAGGATGAACACTGCGATGGAGAGATTTTATTCACTGCTGTTTCCATCCTTTTAGCCATAGCATCAAAATATGAAAAAGCCTTTAAAGAATTTCTTATTATTCTGTGTGGTCTGACATCACAAATGTATGCAGAGTAACTATTACATCCTCCAAAAATATCTTCAAAAATATCAGTTTCTTTACTCATGAATCATTAACTGGGACTTAATCAAAGGAATAACAAGCATGTCAAAATTATATCACAAATCTGATATGCCTCACACTGATATAAGAGTATTTTACACTTCATTGTATATTTCAGGCATGTTTTTCTTGTCTGCATGTTTTTTCACTGGATTTTGTTGTTGTTGTTTTACGTGGCCCTTGGGAAGACTAGCAACCAGTTTGTGCAACTGCAGGGCTGCTAACAAGAAGTCTGATATGATATGAAAACACTGGATGACTTAGTGTGCATAAGAAAAACCAAAATTAAAGAAAATCTGCTACAAATGATTAAACATCAGTGAGTTAGGCAGTGGGCTTTAGTCTTTGTAAGCTTATTTGCACATCAGTGTCAGCAAAGGATAAACACATTTCCCATAATGTATATATACAAAATATTACACATCCTCCTACAGCTTCTAAAGTTTTGAGCTTTTAATCCAAATAAAACCACCATTTATTTGCACTACCTACACAAATGCTTACACCCAGTTCACAACATCAAAGAGGATTTAATCAGATTCCCTGATTCAATGATGCTCAGACTTACTGTGCTTTTGAAGGCATTTTACACTCACAACAGTTAATCTCACTGCTTACCACTAAGGATGAGATTGGGGTAGAAGATACCCAGAGCGGCCTGGTTGGCGCTCTGCTCGTCGTCGATTGCAGATGAGATTACGAGGCCTAATGAGATGCCTGTGACACCCTCCAGCACCATCAGAATTATGACGAGCACCAAGGACCCTTCGTTAGGGTTCTGCAAAGACAGAGAGAGAGAGAAAGAGATGAAGAGCAGGGGTAAGAAAAAGATAACAAGCTTGATTAAGTTGTGGGCATTTTAAATGCAAAGCTGCAGCAGACCTAACAGTTAAGAAAAATAGAGGGGAAGCTAGAACAAAGCAGTACTTCCAGCATCATAAACATGGGTAAGGGCCTTCCATCGAATTATTACTAAGACAGTGATGGAATTACTAAAAATCATATGGTTGGAAAAGAAAAATCCTCAACGACTAAGTGAGATAATTTTCTGCACAGTGTGAAGAAAACCTCTTTGCTAGGGTGCATAAAGATTGAACTCTGGATCAATGGGAAAAGGGAATAATCTCATATTTACGCTGTTCCGGACTGACTGGTGTATCAGCGTAAAAACAGAGGTGGATAAAGTGATGCACCTATTACGTCTACTTCCTGTGAGCCTCTCGGGGGCTGTGCTATGATCTGGGGTTGCTTCATTTTGTCAGGTCTAATTCAGCAACATTATGTACCCCAAAAATGAGGTGAGCTGACTGTCTGCATCTCATCATCAGTTCTGCTCTGCTTGGAAATAAATGTTGTAACATTGCATAAGGTCATCAAAATGATGCCACAGCTAATGTGCTGTGATTAAAGCTAAAGATGGTCAAGTATTCAATATTGTTTTAGCGAGCACAGTATTTCTTATCACAAGTAGAAAAAGCTGAATAAAGACAGAGAAACTGCAGCATTACAACCAGATTTTTAAAACTTAGAAACAATGTAAGCTTTTCTTGTAAAATATATTACAATTGTCTGTCTGCTGGGAGTTTCTAAAACTATTTGAAGATGATAGTAGTTTTTTTTAAAAATGTTTGTGATGGTTTATGTTTGTGTCACAGAATTATTGATGAAGCTAAAGCCATGGAAAACCATGATATGATACATTTTAAAAAAGGAGCTGTGAAAGACGTTTGATGGACATGAAATTACACCAGCGCTTGCTGCATGCTCACTCCCGACATGATGTACAATCATCTTGTGTGGCTGTTAAAGGGGAATTCCACTATTTTATCATATCTGCATGGTCTGTGGGGAAAGAGAAGTCTGAAGATGAATAAATAAATAGAGGTGAGGAGTTAGAAAGAAATGAGATTGCAGGGCTGATCCTGATCTCTGTCTTAATCAGTTGAAAACTCTTTCCTAATGTGTAATAATTACGTTTTTAAGTTATGGTTGTTTTTTCCATCCCTGGACATTCAAGGCCATTTTAAGGAGTTTTAACATTTAGTTTCACCACAGATAACAAGGACAAATAGTTCTTACCCTGACTATACACCAGTGAAATGGTCCTGTGATGTTAATATGGGAAGTTATCATGCATTAAAGAGTGGTGTACAAAATCAGACACTGCAGAGAGGAGTTTAAGTGTCCACCACATGTAACATATCAGAGTGCAATACTAAATCACCTGGGGCGACTTTGAATCAGTGGATTTTTTTTTAAATAACACAGGAAAAGACAAGAAGATGAGATGAAAAGAAAGCGGGGAAAAGATAAAAAAACAAAACAAAAAAAAAACGTAGAAGCACTTTGATTTTCTGGACTTATCTTCAGCCAAAAATACCACAAGAAATGGAAAGAAATATCACTGATACTGAACTTTGGTCTGTGATGTAAATGAGATATGAAACTTTTCAAAGTCACATAAAAGCAGTAAAACAGAGACTGGAAATCTCGCCTCACAAGATTCCAGGTGATAAGCTCCCTCGCTAAACTGTGTGTGTGTGTCTGTGCCCTCCTTGGAGTGTTAAGACACTTCCCGTCTCCCCTGACAACGTGCAAAAATAAACCTGCACCAAGAGACCACATGACCACTCGGTTGCCACAGCAATCAAGGCCTGTTGTTGTGGTGATCCTGCAGTGATCCTTGGATACGGCCCGAGCGGGAAGTGATTTATGGAGCGGTGGGTTCTGTGGACTTGAGCACCTTAATTAAAACACACACACACACACACACACACACACACACACACACACACACACACACACACACACACACACACACACACACACACACACACTAACATAGAGGAGCGTACGCATAAAAGCAGGTCCCTGCATGAACTAAACGCACACTCACATTTATACTCTGTTCTTTCTTCTCTCTATTGATTTCATATGGATGTCTATCAATAATCAGTAGTGAAGGAAATCCCGATGTTCCCACTGGTTTGGTCATTAAAGCCAAGGATATTAAAGTTAATCGAACTTGGGACATTTAAGTTAATGGTAATAAAAATTAAAAGTAGACTTTAAAAAAAGTACAACAAAAATAAATAAAATACCAAAAATGTCTTTAGCAGCAACAACATAACAACAGCATAAACTAATGAAAAACAGAAAACCATAAAACTCTGGGTTTAACAGTTCAGATACTTTTCTCACTGGATGTCAGAAGGATTAATATTCTTTAAATAAAGAAGAAGCTACTTTCCCTTATATATTCTTCCTGGCCCAATTCCAAAGGGATTTGTATCTCCTTTTAGGATTTTTTTTGCTTGTTAGTCAGTTAGTGTAAACCAATACACAACTGAGCCACTGTTTAAAGTCTTTAAATGTGAAGACAAGTTTTCATGTCCTCATAGTCAAGTCATAAAACAGCAAATAGCCAATGAAAACTGGCAAGATTTGTCACATGTTTCATGACATCAGCGATTCTACATTAAATCTCGAGTCATAATATAGTGAAAAGCAGCACTGTTTGATAAGTTCATGTGTATATAGAGTAGCTGAACTTTGTCTTGCCACATAAGTGATGTTATGAAACTGTTTTGGACCAATAGAAGAAAGTGGAAAGTGGCCTTTATGTGATATATTTCCTCTTGAGTGCACTGTAACTAAATTTTTATGAGGGAAACAAGGTATATGCTTGAAAAAAAATAGAGGTTAATAAAATTATCATAAAATTATGACTTGAATCCACTGCAGGTAAAGTCTGATTTTGATGATGTAGGAAAAATGCAAATGAAGATGGTAAAAGGTCGGCGAGGGATTAACCTTCAGTATGTCAGAGCTGTTCCCTGCATGTTGAACGAAACCATATCAGAGGCCGTTTTAAAAAGCAAAGAAAATCTCCCTCACACAATGAGTTTGCAAAGAGCACAGGAAATACCACGTTTCAACCTAAAGTGTTTAACATTAAGTGACCGTGTTGTGGTCTCAGCAAAGGTTAAACAGGACTGACCATGTGGTCTGGCTTTGCAAACACTTATTGGCATTACACTGACTGAAAGCAAACACAGAAAATCAATTAAAGAAGCAAACAGTGAGGTGACATCTGTTATACTGTGAGGTAAAAATAACAGTCAGCCTTGTTTATATAACCAAACCGTTCAGGCTTCTATTTTTATCATTCATTTTCCCTGCTGATACTTTCTTCCCTGTGGACTTCATTTTTTACTGCTGCAAAGGTTCATCTGACTACGTCTGTATTTTGAGTTTCTGTGTTATTTTTCGGTTTTATTGCTTATACCTTGAAGACGAGCAGTATCATAAGAAGCAACAGAATGATCTGAATGCTGATGATGAACAGCTGAGAGAAGAGGTGAGCCAGTATCGTCTCAAGGGAGCTCACACCTGATAGAAACACACAGAGACAAAATTCAATAAACTCACTAAAAGATCTTTACACATTTTACATTCACATCAATTATTTAATCAATTACGTAATGTTGCAGTCAATTTATGGGTTCCCAGTATCTATCAAATCATAATCATAACAGAGGATAAACATAAACTGCTTCATAAACATAAACTTTTTAACTGCTCAGCTATATTATACTTTTTTTTATTACAAACTAAGTCACATGTGATACCTGCAACTATAACACATTTTTGATATAATTACAAATACTCAATAAGAGATTACTATTAACTCATAATCCATTTCAATGCTAAAAACAGCAGTTTATAAGAAGATCAAAACAAAAGGTTCTCAGTGTGTCTGCTTGCTCAAGGACATCTGCTGAACCCTACTGTGATCTTCTTACTCCCTCTAGTGGTCAAGTCATGAATTACACTTGAAACAATCCATTGATTGGATTCTTATCACCACTATATGGTTAATACTGAACACAGACTCAGTTTATTTGATGGTTTTTCCCATTTATGTGATTCACACCAGTTCTGCAAACAATCCAAAATTGGACTTTTAGATCAGACTGTCAAATCTTGACAAGAGAAATTAAAAACATGCTTCTTATAGGTACAGCTAACATTCAGATTTAGTTGAAGCTGTTTGGCAATAAGCCACAGTTATATATATATATATATATATATATATATATATATATATATATATATATATATATATATATATATATATATATATATATTTTTTTTTTTTATCAGGGTGAATAATTTCTTTTCCTTTTCCCACTTGAGTGTAGGAGTGTTTTAAAACTAGAAACCATACAGAAAGATTTGTCATTCTTCATCGTGGAAATGCACTTGCACACTCAAAACCTGCATAGCATTAATATGTACAGGTGCAACATGTGTACCACTACAGTGGTTTCTGTATTCGCGTGTGAGTGTGGGAGCAATGTTAGCTTTGACGGCTCACCTGCGACCCAGCATCTATCCAAAAGCCCCTCTTTCCTCTCCAGGACAAAGGAGAGTGCTGTCAGACCCACGGCCAGGTAGAAGGTGATACTGGAGGGATCAACGGAAGAAGAGAAGGTAGAAGTGAAATGATAAGGTGGTATGTTGTTATTATGAGCTGATGCCAAAAATTTCACAAAATTAACCAAAAGGAAATAAACACAGATGGTAAAAGGCCTGTATTTGTATTTACTAGTCCCTTCACGCACACATTCACACACTGGTGATGGCAAGCTACATTGTAGCCACAGCCACCCTGGGGCGCACTGACAGAGGCGAGGCTGCCGGACACTGGCGCCACCGGGCCCTCTGACCACCACCAGTAGGGAACGAGTGAAGTGTCTTGCCCAAGGACACAACGGCCGAGACTGTCCAAGCCGGGGCTCAAATCGGCAACCTTCCGATTACAAGGCGAACTCCCAACTCTTGAGCCACAATCACCCCGACACAGGTATAGTAAGGTGTCTACTGCCCTATACTTTAACCAGCACGCAGTGTACTGACCTTAGCGCACTTCCAGGTGTCACAAATGTAGTAAAGTCTGTGTTTTGGCTGTTGTAGATTGGCTCCTCAAACTAGTAGAAGAAATCAAGAGTGTTTATTTTACTTTATTATGCAGCATGTATAAATTCATATACATTTAAGTATTTACAGTATTTAATTACATTCAGTTGCTTTTTTCCATAAACTCTCTTACCTTTATTGGTAAGGCAACCATATATGCCATGCCACCCAGCTTATAATCCACAAATGCCTGCAGACAGAGGGCAAAACATAAGTGATGCATCTGTTTTTTTAAGAAAAAATCAGGGGTACTCTTTATCATCTTTAAGTATTTTCATTAAATATTCAAATCAGTTTAATGTTGTTTACATAATTCTAGTTCACAACGGCTCTCGTCCACAGACCGCTTAAAAAAGATGGGAGGTGTTTGAAAAGTTGGGTTATTTTCCAATGGCCAGCAGTAAACGCTGTCCTGATAACTTTATGGGCTCAATCAACAACCAGGCTTCTTAAGCTGTGGCTAAAAGCTCAGTGATGGCTCTTGTTCACTGAAACATGGATATTTTATGTATACAGCATAGACTTCACATCATATTTGTACCTGGAAGGCCTGGTGTAGTTTCTTCTGCACCATGAGGGCAATTTGCCGATCTAAGAATGAAAAAAAGGGAAAACATGAGCATCTTCGTCTTGTCAGAGTGATTTTTTAATGTTCACCATTCAAAATTTAAAGGGAGCATGTAAATCACACATCAGATCTTGATGAATGAAATATTCAGGTTGAAAATCTTTGCTGACATAGAGTAGAAACCAAACTTATTGACCTTTTAAGGGCTGGATTTAAAATTATACCAGAAATCAGAAATTGAAATCACAGATTGAGGCCAGCTTGTGTTATCTGTCTTAGAAGTATACATGGCCCCCACATGACATCTGGGCATACTCCTGATTAGAAGGTCTACGGTGTCCTATGAGGATCTCCTCCCTGACCTGGAGTATCAGTGAGCTCCTGGACAGTCTATGGCTGCACTGGAATGCACCAATATGTGAGGTCGCATTTAGGAATTACTTGTACACTTTGGCCACATGTGTCACGGTTTGTGGAGACAGACCGTGCGGAGATGTGTGTGGTGGACCCAGGTGCGAACACAAGTGAGGATAAGGGAGTGAACTTAAACAAAAACGAGCCTTTTATTGTGGCTGATGATCACGAAAGAAACAAACGAGAATGAGGGCAGCAGAAGAGCAATAACTAAACAGAAACCTAAACTGGGAACAAACTATGAAAGCTAACTATGGCTGTGACTCTGGCTATGGCGAGAAAAACAGACGACCTGATGACAAACAAAGGAAGAGTGAGGACTTAAATACACACATGAGGTGATCAGGGGAAGTGGAGACACATGAGAACACAGCTGACTAGAATGAAACATAATGACAATACAGGGGAGAGTAACACTAACTACAATGAACAAAGAACACCAGACTCTTCCAAAACAAAACAGGAAACATGTGAAGAAGACATGACAATACAAACTTGATAACATAAGACATGCAGTCAAAACAGCCTCACAGACAAAGGGTGAGGGAAACGTAAATGAGCTTAGGTAATCTAATGAACTTGAAAATAAACCATAAACATCAAACATTACCTAAAACTTAAAACGCTGGGTCAAAGACCCAGGATCATGACAATATGAGGCTCAGCATTGTCCTCCACCAGGATGAACCTACTGCACCAGTTTATGGTCTGACAGTAAACTACCTAACAGCAGACATGGTACTAATATCTAATACAAAGAGGTCTACTTGTGCAGGCCGAATGATCTGCAGGTACCATTTCATACTACCACCAGTGACAAGCAGTAGTTTGATGTAATGCCGGAATTTGATGTATGTGAGAATCCTATATGTACAATATACATTAGTATAACATAAATAAAGCACACAGTATGTTTCATTCAACAACAATTATCCAAAAATGGTTTGTATCTTACTTGTCTGGTCCAGCCAGACGTGTATTGATCCTCCATCGATTATCTCCTGAGAGACCTGCCGCTGGAGCATCCTGTGCAATAAGGAACCAGAATTATGATCAGAAAAAAGTAGAACCTCAGTCTATCTAACAAAACACTAGAATGTAAATATCGCAATGACAAGCTGAAAAGTGAGTGATAATCTGCTGAATCTGCAGGTTTTCTAAATTTGTCTGGCAGGACAAGTTTAAATGATAGACAGCATACGAGAGAGACAGATAGAGACAGATAAAGCACTACTGAACTATGTGATAGTGAAATCTAATCTCAGTGACCCAGGTTGAAGAATTTGGCCATTAGGACACTACAAACCCGGTGAACCTGAGGAAGGTGCATAGGAACATAAATATTCATTTTTTTCCTAAGGAATCTGGTTATTGATATGGAACCTTATGAAAGGAGTGTATGACCTTATAAACTAAGCAGCCAAGTGAATTAATAAACAGAGTCATGCATGCATGTGACTGCAGGCTGGTAGCACTATTTAAAACTCAGAAGGTCAGCAGGCTAATTATTATTTCTCTGACACAATTAAAGCAATGCCTCAAGTCTAGCTGAGCCACTGAGAGCATTGAACCACGTGTAATTTACTATTACTAAATTGTAACTTTGTTCTTGAATACCAGTGAACTGAATAATGCGTGTCAGATATGTGTAGCCTGGAATTCCTTAAAGTATTTATTTCAGATGGTCTCACTTGGACAAACTTACTGTCTGCGTAAGTGCATAGATTAAAATTTTGATTAAGGGTGTTGCACTTTAACATAGTTCCATTACAAAGTATGAAACTGGTGTGCTGCACAGAGAGTTTGTAGCTACAGGAAATTTTCTGCCTTGTCCCTAGTTAGGCTTTTACAAAAATCTACTGGTAGTTGTTGTATTTAATCCTTTCAGGAGATGATGATGCCAATACATGGCTGAACATCTAAAAGCTTCAAATTGAGGGTATTTTATCATTTTAGATTTTTTATTATGTTATATGTTAGATATATGTATATGTAGTAATATATATGTTTTATTTTTACAACAGTGATCCCCAAAGCGGGCTATGAAGATACTGCACGGGTGCTAAGAAGAGATTTTGTTAAGAAAAAATTTTGTATTAAGGTTTAAATCCCAATAAAATGAAAATGACAGAATACAATTTATTTTATATTTAAAAAAAGCAAAGCAAACTATTAAAAAAAAGCATGGAAAGTATGCGTTCATTTTTTTGTTAAGACTTACTGACATGCATTTTTCTGACATAATGTTAACGTTCATGACAGCACAATCACAAAATGACTGAATAAGAATGGCTTGTTTGGAAAGGTTGCCAAGAGAGCCTCTTCCCTCTAAATGAACATAAGAGCAGAGCTTAGGTTTGTAAAGTTGGATCTGAACAAACCAGGAGGTTGTGGAAGAATGTGAGTGCATGTGAGTCCATCTGTGCCACAAAGCTTGGTTGAAATGAAACACAACAATGATCCCGAGAACACCAGCAGGTGTTCCAGTGGTCCAGTCAAAGTCCAGATCAGACCTCAGCCTGTGCTGTTGAGGGTTCATAAAAGAGCTGTGCATAAATGAATGTGTGCGAACCTCGATGAGCTGAAGTGATAACTGGGCCAAAATCCCTTCACAACAACGTCAAAGACTGATAAAGTCTGATAAAGTCTGATAAAGGTTATTGTGATTGTTGTAAAAATCTATTTATCAGTCTTTGTAATGTATCACAAGTTGTTCATCTGAGGTTATATCTAAATTATCGTAGATCCTGATAAAGGCCTGGTGAATTTTTTATTATTATTTCCTGGCACGGTGATTAGCACTGTTGCCTCACAGCAAGAAGGTCCTGAGTTCAACTCCACCATCTGGCTGCGGCCTTTCAGTGCGGACTTTACGTGTTTGCGTGGGTTCTCCGACTTCCTCCCACAGTCCAAAGACATGCAATTATTTGGGTTAGGGTAATTAATGATTCAAAATTGCCCATAGGTGTGAATGTGAGTGTGATTCTCTGTTAGTCCTGTGATAAACAGGCCACCTGTACCCTGCCTCTCGCCCCATGTCATGTCCAGCTCCTCACAACTGAAAGAGGATGTACTTTCAATTTCAAATGACTGTATCTTAGATTTTCCATCTATATATGTGCCACCACCAGGTAGGAGTTAAAATATAGCCACCAACTGCCATAAACAAAAGCTGTTTTTGAAGAATAAACCTCAGTAGGGAATTTATCACAGCTTTGAAATGAATCCAGAAAAAAGATGAAAAAAAAACGTCATAATGGTGGGTCAGATTGTGATAGGTGTGAATATCTTCATTCTCATAAGATATTAAAACGTGCATACCAAAAATACATTTGCATGAACTCCTTATCCATCCTGCCTTATCCATATGATTCCTAACAGGAAACAAAAATCTGCTTCATGCTTATGTGATAACATTAAGATCTGCTTGAGAATCAGCCAGAGTACCACTCTGCCAGAAGACATGGGAGAAGAAGCTTTTTGTTTTTCTTAGGCAGGTCTGTCACATAAGAAGCACATGATTCGGTAAGAATAAGCATCTTATTGGTCGGTGCTAAGATGCAACCTGCTCAGGTGTGTTACGGACAGGAAGGACCAGACTGTCCACCCTGCAGTCTCACGCTGTGACTGACGACTGAACAACAACCCTGCTGCAATGACTCACCTTCACATGATTTTGAGGTGTGAGTTGGTGTGGTGTGGCCTCTGTGAGCTTTTATGTGTATCAAAACAACAGAGAGTGCATGTGGAAAAAAATGTACTTTCAGATTAATTCACCATCAGAAGAACATATTAAACATTTTAATAAAAACAGTTTTAAAGCCACTTAGAAAAGCAAGATATTAAGCTGATTTATGTGGTCCTTTTAAGTAGAAGCAGATAAATAAATGATATATTATTTGCTGTAATGCTCATTAAAACAAATATAAAAACATTTATTGGGATATTTTTGGGAAGCTGTGTACTGGGACTGAAAACATTTTAATTCAGTATTTCAGATCCATAAGAATCTGGTACTTTCCTCCGGATGATTGCACAAATACCTTTATGCATAATACATCAGGGCTGATGTGTTTGATCACGTCAGTCATGCTGTTTGTTTTCACTGGCAACAAGAAAGCTGCACTGATTTACCTGAGGTCATAATTTCTCTTAATGCAAACCACACGCTGGATTTTCTGGATTTTATGCACTATCACCAGGGGAAATATTAGTTGGATATATTGTGAAGATTTTTATAATTATAATGGAGGCTGGTGCAAATCTTCCAGTCAAAGTTTCCAAAGAGTTTACAACCATCCTCCAATCCGAATTTCTAAGTAAGTAAATCACCAACTTGTGAAATTATTGTTAAGGTATATAATAGGTGCATGGTGTTCCCTGAGGTGTGGACTGTTCGTGTCGGTGTTTAGCGTGTTTGTGATATGCAGCTGGAATGCTGCCATGCATTACAAAGACTCGTCTTCAAAATCTGTCTGCTTTGCCTGACTACTGAGAATCCCCACTGACAAACACAAACGTCTGTACACAGCCTGTTCTGCCCACGTGTAGGTGCATGACATCAGCATGTGCTGCTTGAAAGGGAACTATCAAAAGTAGGGCAATGAGGAAGAAAAAGGCAGCAAGTTGTTTGTTTGCAAAGGTACATGAAAACAAGCAACATCCTCAAGCTGACACTTGTCATAAACAGGTCAAATATAACATGTACATGAAATGTTGGCTAATCTAACCAAGAAAAATGTCAAACATTTAGGTCACACAATGCAGTTTTATTCAACTCATCTGCTCTGACGCCTCCAATGCCAGTGCGGCTATTTATCCCACGTCTTTGTATTTCAAAGGTATGTCAATCATTTTTTTCTAAAGTAACATGAGGGCAATGAACATTGAGTGCAGACATGTTTTGCAGGTCATAACATCAGTTACAGATGCTGATCCAGCACATCAGCTCCGCCCATGACGCTCTGTCTCTTACCGTTTAATCAGGTAGCTGGTGAAGTTCCTGCCAAAGGCGATTACACCCCAGTACTCTCCATTATAGATTCCCTCAAAAGCTTCTTTGTGGGACAAGTTCACCTGCAGATAAAAAAAAAGAAGCAGGTTCAATTCATTCTATGTCCTAAGTTTCATTTTCAAATGCAGATGGACCATATGCTACACCATGTTTCCTCAACCAGTCTGAACTTCACCATCTGCCGCACAAGGTCAGACTAAATCAATTAAAGTTTCTGCACATTATGTATGTTACAGTTTGTTGAACAGCTATGGTTCTGTTACAGAGAGAAACAATCTTTCCTCTTCAATGATTTCCCAGAAATGGGAAGTCCTGGTGTTTGTTCCTTTGTGAAACTCATTTGCTTAGAGTGAAAATAGATTTTAACAGCTGAGAAAGAAGTCTGCTACTTTGAAAATTGTACTTACTCACTTTTTCATGTGCAACCTACCAGCAGATTTACAGTAACAAAGGAAAAGTCAACAAATTCAGAATCCAAAGGTCATCACAGCTGATAAGGATTCATATCTCTTAGGGCCAAAACAAATACCTGCTGCACACTCGAGTTGTCCAGGAAGGAGAGGAATGATTGGCTGAAAGCAGAGGGGGAGGTCTCATTGTTCACTATAGCAACCCGGATTCCTTTTGGTTCTCCGACAACCAAACAGATGAGTGAGATCTGGATGACGGGCAGCAGGAAAAGGAAACATAAAAAGCTGCCAACAACGAGGAGAAAATAAAGTGTAATGAACTTGTTACTTATAGACAGTAACAAATAACTTAGGTTACTGCATCATACCCTGGCATTCTCTTCATCCGCACAAATGTTTTGATCATCAGGGCTGCGATGTTCCTCCACTTTGGCAGCACATGTCTTGCTCGCACCTTCCAGTGCACTAAACACAAAAATACAAAATAAATGAAAGTGACTGCAACTTATATTTTTTAAAACAGCAGCGGTTAAAATGTTTACCTTAATCTGTGCCTCCTCTTTAAAAAGCTTTAGTGAGTTTCAACTCATTGTTTATCAACCTGACCTGCAATTATATTATTATTATCATCCACTCCTCGTACCTTTACTTTTTGATGTCAGAAGCAGCTGATTTTAAAGAAGCGCTATAAAACTCCTGGCCCATTGTTAAATGATATGCACAGGTAGAAAAAGAAAAAATGCTAGATGTCGGTACCTGAACATTTGAGGCTTTCCTCTGCAGGTGGAGATCTGACTCCAAGAACTGGCTGACTCTCATCCTTCCCACTCTCAAATGACTGGCTTTTCTCCAACGTTCCATCTGGAGAACTGGAATCGCGTTTAGAGTCGACCTGGTCTGACGTCTCACACAGCTGCAGGAAGGCATGCTCCAGGGTCTGAAGGACGGATAATATGGGCTAAAATTCACAAGCCTTTTTTACCCTCCTGTGTATTTGGAGGGTTTACTACGAAAGCGTGCCACAGCCATAGTTTTAATTGCAAGAGGAAAAAAAGTTCACTGTTAACTTTTATTCATATCAACATAAGATGTAAAGCAAAAAGCAAACTAAACAACCTCCATGCCTTGACTATCACCACCCCTGGGCACCCACAGTCTGTACTGGGATTTGAGAGTACTCACTGTTGCACAGTGCTGCTTCATGACGGCATCTGGGGGACCTTCAGCCAGCAACCGGCCATGTCGCATGAGACCGACCTATACAACGGGAAAAAGAAAGAAGAGAGAGGTTCTCTTTTTAAAACGAGTGACTTAATTTTTTTTCTTGGCAATTATTTATTTAGTTATAAAGTAATAAATAATAATATATTTATAATTAGATGATTTATTTTGTTATAGACACACACACACACACACACTGAATGTTGCTGAATGAATGTTAAATGTATGTTTTTTTATCTTCTGCAAAAGAAATGCTAATTCTTATCTTAATAGAAATCCAAAGTGTATCGCATATAGCTGTTGTCAGGGAGCCAAAACACACAGTTGTCTGAATAAGCTTCTAAAGTTGTATAAGAGCGGTAAATCAGGATAAGCCAAACAGTGGATTTGTTAGCCATCTACAAAATAGCAAACTACTTCTTATTCTGTTGTGTGTGAATGGTACTCTTATCCTATTAGTCTTTTTTAGTGGGTCAAACATGGATAAACAAAGGCTGCAGCTGCTATGTGATCAGAGTTTATTTATTATACCAGAAAGCAAAAGATTTGTGCATGCAAGAAGCATGTTGACATGGTAAAAGCTCATTCCTCAGCTGTGGAGTGATGCATTGCTCCACTGGGTGCTCCGTCAGTTGACATACGTCTGTCAAAGTATCACGAAGACAGGAACAAATAAGCCCATTTGTCTCAGTCCTTCACACAGATATCGTTTTAAGTGAAAATGGAGACATGCCTGATAGGACTGAGTGGGCAGACTGGTTTTAGTGGAGACGTTCTGGATCCAGGTTATAATGATTGTGACACAGATAAAGTGCTTGAACTTTGTGAGTCCTGTGTGAAGCCACCATCACCACTTCTGACTGTGGAATTTCTGTGGAATTCCTACCATCACAAAACTTTTACCTGACCTTTCAATGCCCTTGCCTCGGTGGTGAATTTGCAGTCATGTGAAAATGAAAGACAGTAAACTTTGGAAAAACAAAGGAATTAAGAGAGTAAGTAGCAGCCAAGTGCAGACATAAACTTGATTAACTGATTAGTAAATGTGACCACTTCTAGGACAGGTGACACCTCAGCACTGCATTAACAAATGGCCACAATATAAGCGCCTTGAGGCGACTGTTGTTGTGATTTGGTGCTATACAAATAAAATTGAAGTGAAATTGAAATTGAATATTCTCAGCGCGTTAAATGTTAGTCCATGACAGTCCAATTACAAAAAGACTTAACAAGTATGGCTTGTTTGGAAGGGTTGCCTGGAGAAATTCTCTCCAAGAATAACATGGCAGCACAACTTTTCAACGGTTTTTAATGTTGCATCTGAACAAACCACAAAACCTCTGGAACAATGACCTTTGCACAGATGAGACCAAAGTGGAGATGTTCAGCTATAATGCACAACACCACATTCAACACACGAGCACAAATACAGCATACATACTGTCAATGCAGTGGTGGAGGGGCAATGATTTAGGCTTGTTTTGTAGCCAAAAGTCCTGTGAACCCTGCAGTCACTGAGTATACCATGAACTCCTCTGCATAAGTATTCTAGAGTCAAACATGAGGCCGTTTGTCTGCTAGCTAAAATTCGCTGATACCATGGGACAGTGATCCCAAGAACACCAGCCAATCTATGACAGAATGGCTGAAAAAGAAAAGAAGAAAGATGTTGCAATGGCCCAGTCAAACTCCAGACCTCAACCCGACTGTGGCAGGACATAAAGAGAGCTATGCATAAATGAATTCCCGCAAAACCTCAAAAAACTGTAAATGATGCCATAAAGAAGACTGTGCCAATGTTGCGAGAGACTGATAGAGTTATTCTAAAATCTTATAAAAAGTAAGATTTCTACATGTTTACCTGATACTTAGAGAAGAGACCTTACATGTTACGTTCAACTAATAGAAAACCAATCAATAAATCAATCGGTTGTTTTGTACTGTTGTCTAGAGCTATTAGCAGTGCAATAGTGGTACAAGTGTAGGTTTAAGTATGAGCCATTGTCTAATGTTTGACTCTTCATTTGACACTTGTGGTTACACGAGCTACTGTGTAAATCTCTTCAGCTCTTCAGCAATTTATTGATTAGCTCATTATAACACTAAGGTAGAGACAGTGAAAACAGCACGTATTCTCAAAACTGCTCTTTGTGTTGCACATTTCCTTGCCAGCAGCTTCAGCTTTAGAAAACTGTCCCTATACAGTTTGTCCCCAATCTGCTTCCAGTCTTCAAGTTAAATTTAAACTAAATGGCATCAATATTTTTCATTGCACAAATTTATGCATTTGCAAACAAAATTTCATAGGCTATGCACAAGCAAATATGATGCTTCTGCCAAAATTGAGAGTATAAACATGCTGAGAAAATGTGGTTTTACAGACTATATATTCAAAGGAGATTACTGGTGAAACAATGAATGAACTCAGTGAATGAATGGATTTGTGCTGAGCCAAGCATTAGTTTCACCATGAGTGAAATATGTTGTAAATATGAGGAGCTAAAGTCTGGAAAGCTCTGCTGACCTTTAGAGCGACTCTATTCTATAAGGTTTACAAAGAGATGATGACTGTGTGTGCCTGCCTGGCTTTCAGTTCTCTGTGTTTTCTTTATAGCACCTGGATTTGTTTGTTGACAGGGTGGAGTTCAGAGTATGCAAAGTCTTAAGCACACATTTCATTCTTCTGTTGCAAAGGTTCAACTTCAAGGCCAACCAGCCATTTAATCTTAACTTTAAAATAAAATGTTTTTCCTACAGACAGGAGAACCTACAAGTGAACCTTTACTGAGCTTTGGATTCAAGAAAATCCAAAAAGTACAAACGATTTATAGAGTAAAAACAAAACAGGAATCAACACACACATTCATAGACACAACTGATTTTCTATTGAATAAGTCCCATTTCCCCTTAATTTATGTGTTTAACATATTCACATTTATTCAGCAACCTTTTAACTCACCACATTGGCTTGCGTGGCTTCTTCTATGTAGTGTGTGGTGATGATAACAGAGACTTTTCCCGTCTTCACAATCTCTACCAGGTGATGCCAGATCCTAGAAAGAAGACAGAAAAAAATCCTTGAAACACTTGACCCACTCAGTAATGGAGTTTGCTTCAAAATCGCAGCTGTGCCAGCAACAGCTTTGCTGCCAGCCGTCTGATTTTAAGAAGCTTTGTGATTACACAATGACACTGGAGAAACACATTTGGGGGGTACAGTATGCTTTCACCAGTGTTTGCTTATCGATGCATGAATATGGGTGTAGCCTTTATCACATTTTTATCAAAACTTTATTAAATATTAGCCATCTTGTTGAGTAAATAAGAGAGAGAATGATAAATCCATGCAGAGATCTTAGTGGAAATGTAATTTTACTGTAGTGTTAACTTTTGTCTATATAGAAAAATATAAAGATGCCAGTGGGCTCTCAAAAGAGAGGAAACTGGATAAAAAAGATATTTAATTATGCCGTAATATAGGAAAACACAACTGTCCATTTAAGTAATCTTCATCTGATGGGCTGCCCCTTGAAAACAAAAGTTAGGAACTTCTTCATCTTCTTGCGTTCTATTGGCTTCTCTTTCCCAGGGTGGGTGTGTGTCTGGTCAAGCGGCTTCCTTTTGGCCCTTTTGGCCCTGCATCTTTGCAACAGGTGCAAATGCAGCATTTGCACCTGTTGCAAATGAGCTCAGGCTTGTCCTCTCACTTGTTGCCTGACTGCTCTGTCTACTGGTATGTTAGTATTGCTCAGGCTTCCCGTTCTCTTGTTAGGTTCATGTTTTTCACTAGTCTTACCTTGGTTTGTCGCCCTGTGCAAAAGATTGCACATCACCTCAGCTTCTCGGATTCTCTGCCTGTCCACTCACCGCCACTCACAGACATGCCCCGTGCTCCCTGGACTTGCCCACCAGCTCACTTGCCAAGCCTCTAGCACCACTGCATCTGCGCCTTCCACCTCAGGATTCCCCATTTCCTTCCTTGCAATATTCTCTGACTTTTGTAGTGAAATCTGCAAACCTTTACTGAGTGGTGTCCTGCATTAGAGTCCTCAGCTTGGTTAAAGATAACATTTATAGTTTTATTTATTGTACAAATGTTAAAAAAAAAAAAAATCACAAATACGTTTTTGTAAGGACTTTTGAAGGGATTGGAACTGGTGCACATGCCATAGACTTAAAAATGATTTTTAAAATGATACATTCTTATAAATCTCTTAATTTGATGTCTTTTTTTAGTTTATGATTTTTTGCTAGCTGTGCTTGACAGCAGGGTTTCTATTTTGCCCTTTAGGATCAACTACTTTTTCTTTTATTTCTCATTATGTGTGAATGAAAAGATCTATTATACATGAATTATGAAAATCTCTCATTAACAAAAGTGCCAAAAATAACTATATTACACTGGTAGTAATCTTCCTTCAGTTCTGGCGCCTCAAAAACATTTCTCTATGCAGGAAAATATTTGGTGACATCACCTGGAAAACAACGGTGCACGTGTGCTGCATGATACAGGAGAAGACAGACGGTATACATACTTGGATCTGAGCACAGGGTCTACTCCCACTGTTGGTTCATCCAGGATGAGCAGCTCTGGATTGTGCAGCAGAGCCGCTCCGAGAGACACCCTTCGCTGCTGACCCCCACTGTAACACAAAAGCAATCACAGGGCAACAGAGTGAATCTTTTCCCACGATGGGGGAAGAACAAACTGAGGCATCAGCCTGTTGCAAAATCTTTACCAACTTTACCATGAATATTAAATGAGCCTCTAATGAAAACTGGTGTTAGGGCCTCCTGGACAACAGAAGGCTCTTTGTATTGAACCAGGGTTGTGAATCCGGAGATGGTGATTACTCTTATAAAAGGGCCATAAAGTAATCTGCCACTTGCATTGATCTGCCGGAGCTTTAGCAATTATATCTCTTATAGTTAGAATAATTAGTAACATTTCTAAAAATAAATTAAATCAAAGAGTTCGCTCAATAATTTCCAGAGGTTTTACAGCTTATGCAGACTAAGCTTCTGAGCGTAAAAAGGAGGATACTTTTCTTTTATTTTTTGGTTGAAAAAGCATAAAAAAACAAGAACAGGCCTCAAGGAGTTATTACCATAGATTGGAAAACAGGAACTCAGAAAGGCAAATGTCATCTCAAGAATGAGGCTTTTTGCTCTCACTTTTTTGATGTGCAAAGGATGACACTGTGATTAGATAACAACAAGCAAACAGAGCTGCAGCTGGCTTCATACTAGTCATAAAGACTCTGCAGATATGGTCACTTGTTCACAAAAAAATATCATGCTGCATGTTTCAAAGTGAGCTGCCAATGTAGTGGTGCTCAAACTTTTGGTCTGGATGGTGACGCAAGTGGGAGTGATGTTGAATGCAGAGCGACAACTTCTGAATAATCAGAAATTCTTTCTTGCTTATGAGAAGCTCTTTACTTTGGGGCACATATTGTATATTAAGCACATAAGATTGAAAAAGACAAACTTTGATGTCTTTACAGTGAAAATAGGGACTTTGCTGCAGCCTATGAACAGCAGGGGAGACTGGAATATGCAGGCAATTTCACATAATATCCCTAGGACTCTAGGGACCTTTGCTTTGATGGCTACACAAAAGCATGCAAACCAGTGTTGCCAGATTGTCTACTTTTGGTTTGAATTTGTGAGTAAAAATAGTTTGGGAGGCTTGTGGAACTTTCCCTTGATGAAAAACACAGTAGAAAAATGCTAATGTTTATACAATAGCTGCAAAATGCTCCAAAGTACATTACTAAACTAAATTCTCATTGCTTTAACTGTGGTTCTGAATTTGAGTAATCTATCAAGTCTACTTCATTATATACTTAAACTAGAAAATTGTTGACAGATTTGATTTGACCTTTATTAAAAAGAACCATCTGGAAAGTCATCTGTGCATACTATTTTGAAGCATACGGCACATTTAAAAAACCTTGGCATGTGATTGAATGACCCATTTCTCTATCAGTGTCTATCTACTATCGGTTACGCAACCAATCCTATCAGCAAAACACTACAGAAAGCACAAATTAGGGAAAACAAGCAGCAGTCTGACAGACTTTAAAAACTAACAAGCAGTCAGTGTAGCTAGCTATATAGTTAGCATGTCAGTAGACAGTTCTTTATGTTGTTGTGAGAAAATCTCTGCATAAAAGACTTCCAAACCAGGGCCACCTTTCAAAACAGGAATTCGGAGCTGCTTGAAAAATATTAAAAAATAGCAGTCAGGATAGCTTGCTAGTATAGTTAGCACGTTGACAGATGATCCATTTATCTTCGATTACATTGAAGATTAAGCCATAGCTGTGGAGCAACCGGCCAACAGTTCCTCAAACAACACAAACAGAATGTTTTTAAGGCCTACTTCAAAAAATTATTGGATTTGGACAAATATATCTAACTATTGAGGTTTTGTAGACACTTTACAAGTAATCAGGCAACATTAACTTTTACACCATTTTGGATGTGTGGCAATCATGGTGTCAATGTAGGGTGAAGTGAATAAGGCTCTGGCCACGCATGAGACTGATCTGTGACATTTGTATGGGGGAAATATGAGTATTTCAACTGGTTGCTGAATGTTGATGATAGTTGCTTGGAAAATGATTGCTAAAGCCCAGTCACAAAGGCCGACAGACTGGTCAGTGACCCACTGACAACAATGAGTATTTCCTGACCAGTTGGCAAAAGATTCCATGTCATTGCTTATAACTGGTTGTATTTTAGATGAAAGTGATGAATTTATCTACAAACACTGTCCAGCAACTCTCACACTGTAGTGAAACTGAAAAGTGTGATACATTTTTTACTTTTTTCCTTCAAAGTAAAAGTTGCACCTTGAAACATGTTGGCAATGGCATGGAGGCGCTACTTTTACTTTGAAGACAAATCTTCTCCATTTCCTGTTTGCGTTGTACATTTTCAAGTTTTATTAATACTTGGCTAGATGATAGTGAGTATATCCAGACAAACTTAAAAATTACAGGCAACGAGGCAATCTGCTAGCAACCAAAGCAATTTTGTACAGCACCTTCTTTGCAACCGATTTCATCCAGTGACAGCCAGCAACCTCCAGGAACCACTGCCAACCAGTCAGGGATAAACATTTTTCCCTATCAACCAGTATGCCAAATTACTTTTGAGCAATGTGAGCATTATGTCATGGAGATACTGCAATATGCTAACTGCATCCAGTAAAATCAATAGCACAAGGAGGATAGAAAGTGCCTAAGAAGAAAAACAAGCTGCAATCTATGGCACTTAAAAACCTAGCAGTTCCTTAGTCTACCAAACCATCTAGTTGGTGTCAGTGGCTGATTATTGCTCCATCTGTCCAACTGTCTTCTGTCACAGCTAAACTGTGTCTATGGCTGCTACCTTACTGGCCAGGAGCTCCTTAAACAACTACAGTTACATTTGTGGATCTGGTATAAGAGTACAGCGTTAAACATGGCAAGATAAGATTATCGCATGACTGTGATCAAGAACCCAGCTGCCTTGCAAGGTAAGATTTGATTGGGTATCTTGGCATCAGTCAAACCTCACACCACTAATGGAAAGTGATAATCAAGGGAATATAATGTACTGTACAACTGCCCCTGAGTTTCACCTGGTGCTTTATCAGAAAAGTCATAATGTTTTACTGAGCCTGGGTTTACAGCCTGTGGTATAAATACAGATTTTAGATTAAGGGTTTAAAGTCTTCACACAGACATCTGCAAAAGCACAGTGCTACCCTTCATAAATTGGCTGTATCTAGGGAAATAATGCATGAGTTCACATCTCCGTGCATCAAATCTAACATCCATGAACCACATCACTGTTTGCAGAAAAAACACTTTCAATATTAGTATACGCTTTTATGATGATCACTCTTACAACTTTAACCTTACAGGGTAAGATCAGCTTTTACTCATTGGATTTTGAAATCGTTCTATCTGTAAGGTCAACTGCTGCATCATATGTGGTTTTTACCTAAGATTTCGGACCAGACTGGTCTTCTGAGGTAGATCCAGGAAGTCAATGAGAAAGTTCATGCGTGCCTGGGTTTCCTTAGATGTCAGACCATGAATTCGGCCAAAGAAGGTCAGGGTGTCACTGATGGTTAACTCATTGTACAGCGCCAATTCCTGTGCAGCACAAAAGCAGAAAATGAAACTCATATCTGATGCTCTGATTGAGTCACAAACACCAACATTTCCAGCACACCTCAGGACAAATACAACTGCACCAGTGGATGTAAATCTATTACATGTACAAAGTTAGCATCTGTTTTACTCTTACTGCTTTTACTTTATTTTCTTGCTTCCTGGGAAGGATTAAAGCTGGTACTTTTTGTTGAAGGATTAAAGTCTTACATAACAGCAGATATACATTTTTTATGCAACAGCAATTTCAAGAAAGCAGTATATATCGCTAGTTTAAAGATGCATCTGTCCGCATTGCTGTAACAGAAAACATTCAAGGTGTCACATTCCTCCCACTCTGGGTTGCAGATTACTTCCTGCATGGATGAATGCAATGGTCAGGGTTACACACAAGACGACAAATACTATGCTGTGTTATCTACTTCATCAGATACCTAATGACAGTAATGGGGCTCACTCAGGTACAGGTGGCTCATTGCAGCAAAGGCCAAATTACAGAAGCCCCAGAGCAAGGCTTCATACAATCTTTATGGCTTTAAAGCAGCTGATGTGGATGTTGGGGTGATAATTTTCTGGACAGAACACACTTGCTTAAACCTTCTGTGGACAAATGGCTGCAAGGACTTTGATTGTAAGTTCACAGGCTTTTTAAGAACAACCAAATAATAGAGAATAAATAAAACCAGGTAGGGCTGCCTTTGTGTCACTTCAACAAATTTGCTGCTTTATTCAAATATGTTAAGGATCTTTGGGCACATGAGTATTTCAAAAAAATTAAAACAAGAGCAAAGGTACGCATTTTAATGTGAATATATACTATGTGGTGTTTACCTGTGGCATGTATCCGACTTTCTTCCCCGGAATATCGTGGCCAGGAAACGCAGGCGGCTTCCCTAGCACAGTGATGTGACCTCGTGAGATTTTCAAGGTTCCCACAATACATTTCAGAAGTGTGGTCTTCCCACATCCACTGGGTCCCAAAAGGCCGTAACTGAAAAACACAATCACAAAAATTTCAGATAGAACTTAAAGCGTGATCCTGCAGAGGGAAACACTGGGACAGTACAAAAGTATGTGACTAGGGAATGCTGCTCTTTCTGGTTATTGAGTTAACTGAAAGGAAACTAGTTCACCATTCTAGAAAAAAGGTGTTCCTGGAATCTAATCTGAGACAGATATTTCCTTTTAGACGTTTCAGTCTAATACCAGCCTCTGAAGACGCTGAGATGCTAATGCTGCTAAGTGTTAAAAAAATCAAATTGCAATGGCTTTGTGACTATTTTCATACATAATGTCAACTTACAACTAACGTCTGCTGAATGTAAAGTGGTTTTCATGTAGAGCCATTTTTGGATACATCAAAAATTGTATTTTTTCATATCTAGGCTACAAACGGTCTCAGATACATCACACAGAGTTTGCACTGCACTCTGTTATCACATGCACTTTTATCAGGTATGTCTAGAAATACTGATGGCTTAAATAGCTGGACGGGAGACAGGCCAATGACAGTTCAACACATTTTTAAGTTTAAGTTTGAAAAACTTGATAAAAGACTATATTATTTATATTATTTTGAAAGTTAAAGTGCCTATACTTATTCTACAATCAATGAGATAATTATCCTCAGGTTTAAAACAATGAACAATAACATAATGGAACAATATAAGTTATATTCCAAGAGCACAGTGGGGTTTTGTAACACTCGTTCTGTCTGCATGTTTTACTGGTTTTTCACATTCATGTTTTACATATTTCCAGCTAGCAAGAAACATGAGAAACCTTCAAGAATTTGCCAGGTTGTTCATTTGACTTTATTTTCTCTTACATACTTTGTGTGCACATGAAAGCATGTAACAATGCTTTCCTGTGCACACAAAGTATAGGTCAACGTTTTTGGTGGCCCCATTCTTTGTTGTCATACTTGTCACTTCAAGAATGCAGATTCATATTAGAGAAAAATGAATGTAGATCATCTATAAGAAACTGACAACGGAACGAACTAAGAGACAGCGACACCAGAAGCAAAATGTGTGCACTTAGAGCTGAACTGTCACCGACACATCAGGTTGAAAATTTCTTTGCAGTGTCATGCTAAGCTCTCCTTCCCCTGTGGGATAGTGGAATTTTCCCATTAAGGCCTTATTGAGAAACAATGTAGATGTTTATAAAGATAACCCTGAATATCCTGCAGGAAATTAAGCTTTCAACAGCTAATCAGTCAATAGATGCTTGACAAAAGTGAAGGCAAGATGAGCAGCTTGAATTGGGTCCCGACACCTAACCCAGAAATGTCAGCATTGTTTGCAGGTTAAGCATTTATCTGCTCACCAAGAAGAAAAGAAAGAGTCAAATATTTGTTGCTGTTAGTGATACAGGAAGTAAAACACCTTCAGCTTTTCACTATTTCACTCAGTATTTACATTTTGATTTTTACACTTGACTTTTGTTATGAACATTTATAATCTTGTCCAGTTAAAACGCTCTAAATTAACAGGCTGTGTTGGTATTATCTACTCACATTTGTCCCTGTGGCACAGCCAGGTTCAGGTCGTTGAGGACCTTCAGTTTGCCATACGATCGGCACACATCTCGACACCGGATCGCAAAGTCTTCCTGTCCAGCCGGCAGAGGCGCCTCCAGATCAGCCTTCATTTTTTCCTCCTTCAGCTGGAAGAGAGAACATTTTGTTAAACACCAACATTCCTGATGCAAGTCTAAAAGCATGCTCAGTATTGGCAGACTTAACGTTACAACAATGATTTCTCGTGCTGTAGTCTATATAGATATTGTCACCTGCATAAACCTTCCAAATATCTTTAAATAATATTTTCTTTAGTGGAGAATATGTACCTCGCTGCTTTTGTATTCCTCCAATAAGGAAGGATTTATAGCAGGAAATATGACAGTGAAATAATGTCAAATATGCTGCAGATAATCTGTAGTTATAGTCAACCTTTCGCAACGTTTATGCAATGACACACAAAGTCTTGTATTGTGTTAAACACAGAGCATCCATGTACTGAACCTAAAGTAAATGTTTTAACTTTGTGCATTTCGTTTCTGTACATGAAGTGAAGGTTTTGTTGTGGTGAAGGCTTTTACTGAAATACAAAGAGGAAGTAGGATAACTGTCTAGTCTTCCTCTTTCTACAAATAATTGATTAGAAGATGCCGCAAAAAAAAGTTTCCTACAACAAATTTCTGTGGCCACATTTTAATTTCTAACATGTTTTCCTATTTGTTGATTAAGTGCTTGAAATGAAGTGCATCCATCATTAAATATTCCCACCAGGAAGAGCCGACCACTTAATTTGCCACAATTTTTACATGTGCTTCACTTAAACACGTTTGCCTGTCACAGCGGTTAGGCTCAATCACAAGTTTGAAAAATATTTAAGTGGCCACTTACAGAGACGAATCTTCCCACTGAACTGGCCAGTTATGTTTACAAATGCAAGGAATTTGAAAGTAGGAAGTTTCCATTCCTTATAGTTACAAAATACCTGTTAGTTTATATGGGGAAACCACCCTTGACATAAGTGTGTCTTTTTTATAGCCATAACATGTTGATGTAATTCTCTCCAGAACCTCAGTTAACCAATGCTTACACATATTTAACACTTATAGACCCACAAATAAATTGAGTTTAGATGATGTTCCCATACTGTACCGTGCTATTTTCTGCTTTTCAAAAATGGAAATTTCAACTTGTTAAAAATAAAAGCATAATTTTGTGTAGCCTAGCCATCTCTACAAATAAAATATCCATCATTACTGTTTAAGTAACAACATTTGACTCCTGAATGAGTTTTAGTCCCCTGGAGAAGGTTGCAGCTCCTTCAGCAGGAGAAACAAGGCTGGATTTGAAAGACTTCAGTGCAAGAAGCTGAAAATACAAACTGTTATTTTTCATAAGCCAATCACCAAACAATTGAACAGGCAGAAAGAGAAAGTTGTTTGCCCTTTCATCCAAAAGCCAAATACAAATCTCACTTCTGACCAAACAACACACAGAAACAGCCAAGCATACTCTCATGTTCCTGTTAGTTTCTCTGCATCACTACAAAGCTGCATCAGACAAAGTATGTGGGTCGTAAAACAATCCTGAGTCCAGTAATCTCTAATAACGGCGTTCTTTCACGGGTTTCCACCAAACTCCCTCCTTTAATCCAGAATCTCTCATTTTCCAGCAAGGAGATTAGGGAGACTGCAATGAATAATTTGCTGCATTTGGTTAGCCTCACCTTTGGCACTTTAGCCTACATTTGCAGACATGTCACCCTGATTCTGTGTGGCAACTGTAACCACTTCAGATGACACATTGATTTAAAATGCAAACAAACGCTGACTATCCATCACTGAATATGAGAAAGGCCTGGAAAAAAGACAAGGCTAACCTCATCTAGAGGAGACCAAACCGATTGAAGGAGCACAAACTCACCATTGGACACGATGTAAAGAAAAAGGGAGATGTGGAAGGGATGAAGAGCACTTGAGAAGTGAGGCCAAAGACTGAAGTCAACAGGTAAAGAGCATTTGAACATTAGCTGACACAAACATCTCGTCCGCATGAATGCAAAGTGGAAGAACAGGTTGAGTTTGAGAGCCAGCAACTGAAGAAGGCATGAAGAACAGACGCCAATAGCACGCACGCACACGCACACACACACACACACACACACACACACACACACACACACACACACACACACTTTAACTGGTGCTATAACCTCAGTAGCGCTCCATAATCATCAATATGTTTTCTGATGTCCCCAAAATAATACTTGGGAATAAAATTTTAAAAAACTAATGACATATTTTAAGAGCATGATTTTTTTTCTCCTAACACATTTTTTTTTGTAGCAATCCCACCCTTCCACCCATCTGACCAGATGGACAGACCTATACTTGATGAAAACACCACATTGCCTCTTTTGCTTGTACACTGCGATAATGACCTCGATCAGCCCAGCAGAGGCTCGCTTTTCATTCATAACAGGCTCTGCTCTGTTGATCAGGAAGAATTTCCTACCTTGCCTGCCAAGTTGTTGCCAATTTGCGTCACTACCAAGTGGAAGAAAACAGGCTTGACGGCCGTATTTAAATCTCTCCGAATTCAGGAAGACACATAAAAATTGTGAAAGAGAAGTCAACGAAGGGCTATTTATAAGCCGAGCCCTCTGCAGCCGACCAGCTGCTGCGCTTTCACTTCTCCCTTTCACGCAGGACGTGAGCGCTGCAGCAGCGCTGCGATGCTCAGCGGTCGCTCTCTGCCCCCCCTCTGAAAGATAACCCTCATCCACCCTCCCTGCTTTACGGGAAAAAATGGAGCTCTGGCCTGAAATGTGACACAAAATGAAAAAATAAATCCCAACTCCATCTCTGCAGCGGCGCACAAAGGCCTGCTGTCGAGGGACCACCTCGATCCTGGAGGCTTCCCGCGAAAAGACAGCGACCCAAACTACCTGAAAAGCATCTTACCCGCACCTCCATCTCTGTGCTGTTTGCAGGTCCACGCGTGGCATCATTCCTACCGGCAGCCTCCGCGGCCATGGCAGCAGGGAGGACAGCCGGACCGGCTGGGTCTCTGTAGGAGAGAGAGAATGAGGGAGAGAGGGGGAGAAGGAGAGAGTTAGATAGATGATGAGCTCTGGGAATTTTTAGGTTTAAGTCAGGCGAGCTGTTTGATCTGCTTTCAGCGATTCCACAGATGCACAGAAATGCAGTTTGCAATTTTCTGATCTATTTGGGCAGAATTTGGTGCCAGCTTTAGCTGATGCGGAGCTGCACTAGCCTGTAAGCAGCTGCAGGGGCTCGATTAATAATATATTTTTTAAGAAATAAAAGAATTCACCAGGTTGCTAATATCATTTCATTTGGCATTTCTAACATTAACTGCTGCTGCAAAAGCAACGGAAGTGAAACTAACCGATGGATTCTTGTAATGATGTCGTTCCAAAAATAACCGCTAGGTGGAAGCACAAAAACAAGAGACTTTTAGATGAAACGAGGTCAAGCAGGCGTTTGATCACTGATTGATGAAACTGAATGTGACACAGACACATAAATGACTGTTACGGAATGAAAGAAGGGAAATTTCCCCTGGCTCCTATGTTTGTGTTTCTGGTAGTAGCACAAACTTTGTGTTTTATACAGTTTAGTTTATAATTCCAGTTTTTATTTTCATTATTTTTCACATGTATCTATGATATAGTGACAGACAACCTTAAACACTTTATAAGTTATGGGTGGACACACAGAAGCCCACAAACGGTGCTTTGAACATTAATATCATCAATCAGGATTTTGGACCAGAAGCGTTTATCCCGTATTCTACAGAGAACTGCACAAATTATCAAGGAGGAGGATAACCACTGCACATTCAGACTCATATGAAATGCTTGTGATCATGGTTATGATTTTTCTTCACTGCATCTTCATTAAAATACATGCAAAAATCGAATGTAAATAAAAACCCGTTTGAAACACAAAATTTTCTCACTGATTGCACATTAGAGAAGGAATCAATGACCATGCAATGTCATCGCCCACATAGCTGTTTCCACAAATAATGATTTTTTTTAAAACACTTCAGTTTTTTCCTACATTTCAAGGAACCATGAACAAAATGCTTCTCAGCGCTGACAGCACTGCAAGGCTGGATGTTGGCGCAGCGGGCCCCTTTGTGCAGAAAATTACATGTTCTTCTTTCACTATGTCTTTGACTGAGGCACTGGTTTATATTTGGAGTTGATCACTGGGTGCTACACAGTGGCTGCCTGCTACTCCTAATACATATGATGGGTTTAATGCAATGGAGACAACTTTATCCTTCTCTAAAGAAAGACCTCAGCATTGAAATCATTAAAAATGAGATTTAGATTCAGCTCCTCCTCCATGTTAGTGTCTAATATAAAGAAATGCTTAATGACAGCTAAGAAAAAATGTTGTGGCTTATTTAAAAAGAGTGTGTGTGTGTGTGTGTGGGGGGGGCAACTACGAGTTCAGGACATGAAACCAGACGGCTGATACTATGTACAGATTGTGAAGCGTGCTGTTCTACACTTCGACACCACTGGTTTAAATACACTGCTAAAAAAGGGAACACTTGATCATCGCAGTGTAACACAAAGTCAGTTAAACTTCTATGCTATCACCAGTGTTCTCTTCACACTGAGCCTCTGTGAGTCTGGACAGTTTACGGAGGCTGTGCCAAATGTTAAGATGCCTGTAACTTCATCTGTCATGAGAACAGGGCAAAAGTGGCAGACCTACCAGTTCTGTTTTTTCTCTGGCAAATGCCAGTCAAGCTGGAAGGCACTGGTCTTTGAGCACAGGTCCCACTAAAGGGCATTCAGCCCTCACATGGCCCTCCTGGATTCTGTTTGGCCAGACACGTGTACATTAATAGCCTGCTGGAGGTCATTTTGCAGGATTCTGGCAGTGCTCTTCTTGTTCTTCTTTGCTGGGTAGACACTGTCCATCTCTTCATGTAACAGCCCACCTCCTGGTTTATTCTCCACACTCTTGTACTGTGCTGGGAGACACAGCAAATCTTTTTTGTGATGGCAGGCCTGGATGTGTTTAATTTAGGAAAAACTGAATAAGCTGCTGACATTTGTCTTGTTTTTGCCTCTCCAGTGTATGCATTGTCATTTTCTTTTGCACCAAAGCAGGTGTAAAGGATTCAAAATGGTATGTGCTTCCTAACTGGACAGACTATGTAAACACATCCTGATTTAAATGTGAATAAATGGGATTCTTGAGTTATGTTTTTATGTAATGTAAAATTTTCAGCATAACTTGAAACCATGTTTTGTTTCATATGTCACCATGCAAGTGTCATCAATGTGTGACGTTTCATAAGGCAGGAAGGCCCTCTGGAAAACATGTTGCCCAACCCTGGACTAGAGGCACGAGTAATGCATTGAATAGAGATATATGTAGGATATTTGAGTGTTATTACTGCAGCAATAATAAGAACTAATAACTTGTTAAGGGGTGTTTCAATAGTGCAGGGGTTTATGTACTTGGCTAACAAACAAAAAGTCTCCAGTTTGATCCTGGGAGGAGACACAAATCCTTTGGAAGATATGATGGGACCTGATTATTCAAGACTTTGTATGTAAGGAGAAGGACTTTAAATTCAATGATAGATTCAACAGTGAACCACTAAAGATAAACTAATCTTCGTCTTTCGGATGCTTCCGCTAGGGGTCGTCAAAGCTCCATCTCTACCTAAGCCTAGCATCCTCTTCTGTCGCGCAAGACCTTCTGGAGGCCCTGCTTCCCTACATCCATGAATCTTCTCTGTGATCTTTTTCATTTCTTCGTGCCTTCTGGGTCCATCTTCAAAATCCCTTTTTCAAAATATCCACCATTGCTCCTGTACACATGTCCAAGCTATCTCAGCCTTGCCTATCTAACTTTGTCTCCAAAATGCTCAACCTGAACTGTTCCTCTGATATACTCATTTCTAATTTTGTCTCTCTGTCAAGAAATAAGAAAATCTAGTATAGAAGAAACATGATCTGTCTTTCTTAACCCTGTCAGTACTCTCGCTGCAGCGTTTTGGATTAAGGGGAACATCAGTGCATCACTGAAGTCACAGTGCATTGATTTGCTTAGCGTGTAATGCCTTTAAATATCCACAAAGGGGCAGAGTGGACCAGTTTAACTAAACAACAGCCGGGCTAACGATTAGAGATGGGGGTTGAATAGATAGAGAGCATACAGAAAGGACGGAGAGGGTTGCAAAAGTCAATGAACAGACAGTGGGATTGTCCACTTCATTCGGTGAAAAGCAATTATGTCCCAGGCTCACAAGTGAGCAGAAACAGGTCCATTTGTAGCTATTTTTAACTCCCTGACGCCTCTGAGCCCTACAGTATTGTTTAATCATTCCAAAGTATTGAGTGTGCCCACTTTGGCCAATTAGGCCAAAACCCCCCAGTCTGTGTCACAGTCAAACTGGATAAACGACACGCGAGCGCAGTCTCATAAAGTAACCGCTTATTTAAACCAGCTAAAAGTCGTGTCCTGGATTGTTATCCCAACCTAGAAACCCCCCAAAGAATCCAAACAATGCGTTGTCTAATTGGGTGAAGGGTTGAGGGAAATCTGTCTGATTAGCCTTCTCCAACAGACGGGGATTAAGCTTTTGGTCTGTAATTATTATAAAGCATACGTCAGCAGACATCCACCCATTTCAGTGGAGCAGAGGGATCCTGCGAGGTGACTGTGCTCTCTCTCAGGCCAAGTCAGACGCGAGGACCCAAGAATAGGAGCAGTACTGGAGCAGGAACAGGAATATCCTCCTGAGTCAGTGCCACGACGCTGACAAACCACGCTCCCCGGCAGAGCTACCTCTGCTCCGATAATCAGCATCCTATGCTATTCTGCTCAAGATGGCGGTGCAGGCAGCGGAGAAGGACGGAGTAGTGAGTATTTTGAAGGTTTTCGGGGAACCGATCCGGGGTTACGTGTGTTGGTATTTATTTTCTGTGCATGGGGGCCTGTTAGTTGCGATTTAAGCGCACCGTTAGGTCGATTATCCGGCGCTTATTGTAAATGCGGAGCGCCGGGCGCAGCGCATTCAGAGCGTAGGGCGACTCCTCTTTCATCTGTGGCCGGGGAGGAAATTGGGAAATCCAATACGCTGTGGTGAAATGCACCGGCGGTGTGTGCTCTTCTAGGCCACCCAGCCGGTGCGCATTTCCATCGTAGTGCAAGATGGTGCCAAATGTGGGGCTCATTTATAATAACTCATGGCTCCCGGCAGGAACGCTGATAACAACATGACAGGTCTGCTGCCACCTCGTCATTGTTGTTGCACGCCGCGTACGAGGCCACACTCTTGTGCATATATTGAATGATAGGCCTGTAGCCTCTTGTTGTGCCTTTAACCTCAGCCATGCAAGTTGTATATCCTACCTGACAGAGCGATAAATGATACTTTGCATCCTGTGTCTTTTGTCACTGGTGTTGAAGAATGTGGAAGAAGACCACCTGAATGACTCGCTGGGGAACCCCGGCCTCATCTCACCTGACAAGGAGGATTTATCACGCCTCCTGGTATGAAATATTTAAACGATTTCCCGAGTGTCCTTGTTTGATGCTCGCTCCTGGCTGTGCGTAATAAATTCAATGTGTGCAATGCGTAGACGGTGCCATTCAGCGGGCGCATCCGGGGGGGCATGCGGCCGGGGAAGAAGATAATAGTGATGGGCATCGTGGACCTGGAGCCAGACAGGTAACATAACACCTCACAAAGGCATGCATGCACACACTCTTTATCTGGAGCCATGTTTTTATCTCTGCATATTTAAAACATTCTGATTTACGTCTGCACAGTACACATTCTTTGCTAAAGGATGTTAGAGATGGGATGTTTTGTTTTTGTTTTTTGTTTTTTTGTTCTTAGGCTAGTCAGACTTGCACGGCCACTCGAGGACACACTGAGTAATGCGTAGGCAGCCAGAAAGAACAGTGGCTCCTTAAGTATGCAGAGACAGGGCGTTCCCTCACCAGCAGGGAGAAAAAGGGGGGGATTTTCTTTTTTTTAAAAATTTTTTAAAAAAAGAGAGAGATCCAGTGAAGCAGATTTGTTTGGGTGTGTCCTTACCCTACATGGAAACTTGTGTCAAACTTGGAAGAAACCTCTCGATGACCTCATCTTGTTTAGTGCCTGCTGCTGGGAGGGTTTTTCATGCCAAAGTTCATGTGAATGTCCCAACAGACAGAACAGCTCCAAGGCCTAAACACACAGTCTTTCTTTGTTGCGTCTCATTACTTAGAAACTTGATGCCTGTAACTGTGACCATAAACTTACACCAAGACGCATAACTGTGCAGCAGCAGCAGGGGAGGGTGGATAAACAGAACTAGCAGCAGGGATTATGCATAATTAACTCACAATTGGTGAGAATTGTTCTTACGCAGCAGAATTATGCATCTCATTTATCCCAGATTATCTGATGTGTGCTTTACCACTGCATCCTGCCTGAATACCCGATACCCCGGTTTTTTTTTTTTTTTTTTTTTTCATACCCTCAGCTTTGATGTCAGCCTGACCTGCGGACGTGATTCAGAGAAAGGGGAGCCTCCATTTGATGTGGCCCTGAAACTCACGGCTCGTTTCACTGACCGTCAGTTCCTTCGCAGCGCTCGGGTTTCTGGGAAATGGACAGAGGAGGAGGCGTCCACTGTGTATTTTCCCTTCATCCCTGATCAGCCTTTTAGGGTAAAAAAATCCCTTTTCTCACATCAAATAATTCTGGGTAATCCCCAGCAGTCGCCTGTAGCAGAGATATTTTCAGAATTAGTTATGTGAGATTATCTGCGCAGCATGATAATGGAACACAAACAGGAAATGTTGTCCATGCTTCATCATATTGTAATGTAAATACAGCCTGTACCCCATATAGTGGCCTGTTTACTGCGTTAGGACCACATCAGCTGTTGTGGTGTGCTGAATGAGTTGGAGTTGGAGGGTGGAGGGGGTTGAGCAGCAGGGCATATGCATGATGAGTAATCTCATAACACCCGAGGACTTGTTAGCTCTTTAATGTCATATTCTGCTCCAATAAGTCTGCACATGAATAACACACATGGTGTACAGCTAAAAATATACAATAGTGGCAATGGAGCGAAGAACAAAGCATGAAGTTTCTCGAGATGTTTTCAGGACACTGAATGAAGTTGTTCTTTCTCCAGTGTAGCCGAAGGTCTGTTTAAAGTGCCAAGTTCACGACACCCACACGTCACCGTGAAATGCACCATAACATTTGCTGCAGTGTTGGCAGCTCTGTGAAATCCATATAGAGGTTATACTTTAGGAGCTGGAGGCTAAAAGACGGCAAATGCCCAAAGCAACTGGGTCGGTAATTTGTGTACTTGTAACCATCTCTATTGCGTAATGTCTCGAAATGTTCAGGACTCTAGTGCATGTGTACAAATTTAGTAAAAATTTATTTTGGCACTGATTGCTGGAGCTATTTTTATTTATCTTGCATAGTGATTGTGACGTGATCTGCTTGAGAAGGAGGTCCAAAGTCTCTTACAGGTGCGCACTGCAGCTGAGTTTGGTTCACTGTCAAAACCAGTGCATATGATTAATCTCCTTTGCAAACTTAAACAATTCAGTAACCCCTTGCTATCCTTTTGATGGGGTACATTATAGTCCTGGAAGAGACCACTCCACCATAAGTTTATGGATTTACAGTGATCCTTACTTCTAAGGAGACACACACAATGTGAGCAAAACTATTCCAACATCATAACAGAGCCACTGGATCCCCTAATTGCTGGGGTCAAAGTAAAGTAAAGTAAAGTGTGCGTGTTAGTCCCCATAGGGAAATAGTTCCTCTGCATTTAACCCATTCACCCAGTGAAGCAGTGGGCAGCCGCCAGTGCAGCGCCCGGGGAGCAGTGTGTAGGGACGGTACCTTGCTCAGGGGTACCTCAGGGTAGCCGTTCAGTGGAGTCGAACCCCCGACCTTCCGATCATGGGGCTACCACTCTACCTACTGAGCTATCCCTGCCCCAGTCAAGGGTTTTTGCTTAGTGTTTTCCAGTCTGATATCTTTAAAACTCAGCTGTGGATGCATGAGAATTTTTACAAAGAGAAACTCTTTCTGTTTTTTAAGAATGCGAAATATGCATATGCAGACACAACAACTTAAGTTATTTTTAGAGGTGAACCCTGCATCTGGTTGTTGAATGTCAGCTCTCTGATAAAGTGTCATTGTTTGTGGTTGCAGCGTGACTGAGCAGGTCGGCACAGTCATGACTCTGTCGAAAGCTGGAGGCTGGAGATTAAGTCTGCCATGCAGAATGTTTAAAACAAACTCCCTCCTGAATCCAGGGGCATGTGGAGAGACACATGATGTGCTGTGGTCTCAGAGCAGGATGGTTTGTTTCTGCTGCTTCATCTAAAACATTCTGCCTTGAGTTGTTTGACGGTTTCTTTTTTTTTTTAAATTCCCCCCCACTGGCATAAACCACGCGGAGGTGTTTATGCAGTTACATTTTTGTTGTCGGTTTGTTAGGATTCAGTGTGTACACGTACAAACAAGAGAAGAAAATGAGAGCGAGGCTTAGCTCTAGCCTACTTATTCAATAACGTTTTGGGAGCTTTAAATGTTTTAACATCAACTAAAATAGCTGATAGTCATCCTCAGTGTAAGGGGTCATTTGGTCTTTCTCTTTACAAGCGGTTGTCTTTATCATGCACCCTAACCAAGGAAGAAAAAATGACAGATTAGCTTGGGTAAAAGACCGAAAGTTGAGGCACACAACGATGTGTGCCGCTGGTAAAGTTTCTGAGCTGCCTTTCCTCATAACAAGCATCCGTCAACGTTTTCTCCATTTAAAGCAATGCAATATCAGGGATTGTAACATCTAGTCCTTTACTGAATCTATTTTGTAATTGTTTACTCAAATTGAAACTGCACAAATAATATTTTTATATTAACGAGCAGAGAAAGAAATGGTTGTATAAAGTGAGATGCGTCCCTTCAGCTCATGAGGTGATTGTGTGTAACTCTGACACAGCTTTTTCCACCCACCCAATTTCTTCTGCTTATTGTGACTGTATGGAATGAGTGTGTTCAGTCTCTACTTGTCATGAAGTCAAAAGCGGTTAAAGTGCGGTATTTTCTTTCCACCTTTTGCCTAACTGTCTTTTTCTCCATGTCTTTCTTCCTTCTGCAGATTGAGATCCACTGCGAGCACCAGAGGTTCCGGATATTCGTGGATGGACACCAGCTCTTTGACTTTTATCACAAAGTAAAATCTTTGCCCTCTATCGACACAGTACGAATACAAGGAGACCTACAGATTACCAAGCTTGGTTAACTTGCCCTCTGACCAATTCCCGCTCCGCCAGTCGTGTGTGAAGCAAGGACTTGATCACACATGACCACACACACACACGTGCGCCTGTTACATCATCATCCATAGCCCATCGTACAGCACTGCATCAGCATAGTAACTGGATCAAAGTTTTTCTGCTTTGCTGTTTCTTCTTCTTCTTCCTCTTCTTTATGTTGAACCAGGATCTGATGTGATGGTGCTTTGTGGGTGAATGTGTTTGATCCATTTTTCAGGTATTTTTCCCTTGTAGCCCCAGTTTTTAGATCAGCGAACTTGTAGCTTATTTATAGGACATTCCACTTTTATGTCGAATCCTTTAGGGAATTTGAGATGGAGGCAGGTGTGGAGGTTTGAAAAAACCAGTTAGATAAAAATATCTGACAATTAGCAGCTAAAGTGAAAGTTAAGTGTTGCTCATGGATAGAACAAAAACTTAAACTCAATTCAACTCACTTTGTTTAAACATACAAGCGTCCTCTTAAATCTTTTGCTGACCAAGCAACGTGAACAAATGTGCAGTAAAACTCAGACAGGCCAGAGCAGTGTTCCCAAATCAGGCGGATACATGATGTTATGCGAGATGCAACTGGTTTCAATTCAAATATACCTGGACATATATGTATATTTGATATGCTTTAGTTAGATTGAGCTCAGCACAGCTGGATGTGTAACTATTTCAAAAACTCATCTGAGCACAACACAAGACAGCATAGCGGCCTGTTTTCTCTCTGCTGATGTATATCCAACTCTGCTGGCACTCCTCTGCATCCCTTGGGTTTATTCCAGTTGTCATGGTAACACGTCGCAGCCTCATTGACCTAAATACTCAAAAATGAGGATTATATCATGACAAGATGTAGCATCCCATGCTTAACACAGCGTGTCTGGGTAGTTTGCACTTTTCTTTTTTTTCTTCTTTTTTTTAACTACAGCCACTCTCCTGTCAGTAGATTGCGCTATAGAGGCAGTAGAGCTGCAGAGAAATGTTATTTAAAATTTGACTTCTGCTCCTTTTTTCTTTTGCAAGCCTCATCAGAGTTGAACACTAAAATAAGATAGAAGTTTTACTCCTTATATGAAGAAGAAACCGTGCTGTCATCG